TACTATTGTTTTTTTTTTTATTTTATTTTTTTTATTATAGTTATGGTCAATATAATTTTTGGTCTGTGAATTATTCTATAATTTGTTGATGATTGGTAGCCATAAATAAGGTAAGTAAATTTACTTCTTACCTTCATGATTCATTTGTTTGTAACTTGGCAGTTTTATTATCTTTGTTCTTATTTCCCAATTCATCAATCAATCAATCAATCAATCAATCAAAGTTATTCTCTATAGGGATTTTTTTTTTTATATTATTTAAAACTAATACAGTTTTACAAAAATAAAGAAAAAAAGTATGGGATGGGACCCATGTCTAACCCTTTCTAGGGTAGGGTAGGTGCCTGAGCCCGAGCCTTTAACTCAAAAGGGACTGTCATTCCTTTTTTGCCCCCTTGGGGGGGGGAAATGGCAGACCAGAGAGGCCTAGCTTGTGGCTGGGCCCTGGGGACAGTTGGTCCAAAGATGAGGAGGTACTTGTGCCTCTCCCATGGGAGACTTAGGTCTCAGACACTCCCTAAAGAGGGAGCCAAGCCGGGCCAACCACTTGGAAAAGGCCCGGGCCGGGAGAATACCGGCTAATCTTTAAATAACTAACTAAAACAGTATGGAATCTCAATCAATTTTTTTTTTTTATTTTTGTTTATTTAATCCAACAATAGACAATAGACAAAAGGTAATCCTAAGGATGACAATATATGAACAATAACTGAAAAAAACGTTTACATTAGATAATAGAAACATTAACGAATTAACATTACAATATAAAAATATGACCACTATTACCTACATATAAAATCACATCGCACCATGCCAGCCCTTCTAGGGGTAGGGTAGGTGCCTGAGCCCGGGGCCTTTAGCCTCATAAGGGACTGTCATCCCCATTATCCCTTGGGCAGGGATGACAGACCAGAGAGGCCTAGCTTGTGGCTAGGCCTGGGGAGACAGTTTTTCCCACAGATGAGGGGGTACTTGTGCCTTTCCCTGGGAGACTTAGGTCTCAGCCCACTCCTAAAGAGGAGCCAAGGCCGGGCCACCACTTGGGAAAAAAGGCCCGGGCCGGGGTATACTGGCTAATCTTTAAAAAAAATAAAAAAAATAAATAAATATAAAATCAGATACCGAAGCTTAAAACTGTCCTATACTAGCTACATGTGGATAAGTTAACTTTCGCAAAAACATGCAAACCTATATTAACTCTTTCTCAAATTAATCATCCTTACTCTTAATTTACACTAGAATAATAAAATACAAGTATACTTTCATTATGTCGTTACAGACTAAATTCCTTCTGCTCTGGACACGGAAAGAAATATAGGATAATTAACCAATCGACACCATGCCTAACCCTTCTAGGGTAGGGTAGGTGCCTGAGCCCGAGCCTTTAGCTCATAAGACTGTCATACCCATTTGCCCCCTTGGGGCGGGGATGGCAGACCAGAGAGGCCTAGCTTGTGGCTAGGCCTGGGGACAGTTGGTCCCAAAGATGAGGAGGTACTTGTGCCTCCTCCCATGGGAGACTTAGGTCTCAGACATTCCCTAAAGAGGGAGCCAAGGCCGGGCCACCATTTGGAAAAGGCCCGGGCCGGGAGAATACCGGCTAATCTTTAATAATAATAATAAAGGATAATTAACCAATGATGTCAAGAACACATCCAAGCGACACCTACACCGACCATACAGGTCCATGAGAACTGCACGGTCCGGGCAGCTGCTCGCCCAGGTGTGCACATGTAC